ATTCTCAGGCATGTTAACAATCTCATTTTTGAACTAATTAGATATGTAAAGTTGTTCTTTTGACATTTTCTGCATCTTTACAACGTTTTTAGTTGATTATATAAAAATGATGGTAAACCTGATATTGTGTATTGTGTAATCAAGTGTCAAAAATGGAAATAAACTCATATCTTTATAGTTTGTCAGATTCAATCATTCACTTTGTTCAGAATCCCCAAATGGAGCAAATTGGACATTTAAAATTGTAGTATTGATATTTTTCTTTGACAACATTTTTAAATTGATCATAAAAATGATGGTAAATTGATCATTTTGTTTTATGTAAAAAATGTGTTGAAATGGAAATAAACTTTTTCAATACAGTTTTCTCTTGTTTACATTTTGGGATTTTCAAAGTGTGACTCTGAACTCTATGGGCTAGTCCCATTTCCTGAATATCCATGATACTTTTATTTTAATCATTTAAAAAAATATGGTTATTATGCTGTTAAGCATTGTGTCATATTGCATCAAAATTGAACAAAACCCTATTTTGGGCACTGCCTCCGTAGTGACGGTGAAAGGAAAACTATGTCACTAGCTCTTCTCACACTTACAGGAAAGAAACATAGGAGTGAAATACAGCTTCAGTTGAAAAATTGTCTCATTAGTTAATTGTTTGGAAGTAATACAGGTTTTTGTGAATTTTTTTATCTTTCACATATTGGAATTTTCAATGTGGGACTTAGAGCTCCCTTGGGCATGAAGCCCAGTGGTAATCAAATTTTCTTAATGTCCTTATTTTTAATAGTATATATTTAAAAATTGGTGGTATTTATACAATTAAATCATTATGTAATGTTGCATCAAAATTGACAAAAAACCTACTTTGTGCTCTGCCACCATTCATATTATGTAAAGTGAAATATTACTTTCTATTTTTTTTAAACTAGTCTTACAAGAATGATTCTTAGGATTGACATACAGCTCATATTAGAAAACCAGCTCTATTGGATTATCATTTTTATGTACAGACACAGATGTGTCTGTACATATTGCCATCACCTGCGTCTGTTGTCGCCGTCGCTGGTGTCGTGCACTTCAGCGTAAACACGATAAGTGGAAGACAGTTTTACTTTTTGGCTTTATATTTACAAAGCTGATGAATATTCATAAAACACAGGTCAAGTTAAAAAATCAGTATTATCGGTCCATTATTGTAGAAGTTATGCTGTTTTTTCACTTTTCAGCATATATGCAACACTGTAAACACATTTCAAGGAAAACCGATAGGCCTGTTGTCATGAAACTCACAGGAGTGGTTAATCTTACTAAAACGGCTTCGAACATCAGCATAATTGGGCCATTATTTTAGAAGTTATGCTGTTTTTTCACATTTTCTCAGATTCTATTTCCCTGTTAACTCCCAAAGGTTAAGCTCTCTGCTAGATTACAGTGTCCATAATAAGGAAGCAGTGATAATTATGCAGGTAAATTTTGTTTAATATTGCAAATGTGTTTTTAATATATATATATATATATATATATATATATATATATATATATATATATATATATATTTATAACTCAAAGATTAAAAGTTTTGAATAGCAGCTTCATTAGAATTATATTTTTGTTATGTTTTCTTTTTTATTTTTTCTCAAACACTGGCATTTGTGACTTTGAACTCCCATCTGCCTGAGGTTCTGCACATTTTCTGTAGTTCCACATAAGCAGTTGTATTGGTATTTATGTCTTTAAACATAATATATTTTATGCACTGTCATGTGAATTTGAACTCTCATGGTCCTGAAACTGTATTTTATTGGAGGGATGAATTGAGACCATCTTCTGGATCTTCCATAAGACAGTCAGGTTTTAAAGATTATATAGACAGGTATCAATTTTTTCTTCTGTTGGAAGACCATCAAAATGGAGGATGGATCAACAAAGGTACTTTGGAATACTGTTAGAAAATATCTCTGGATCCTCTCCTGTTATTGACGATGTCACCTGTTGTGCATGATTAAAATTCAGTGTTGACTGACTGTGCTATTACAAACATTATTACCTCTGCCAAGGCGGTTATGTTTTCCCCCTGTTTGTCTGTTTGTCATCAAAAAGTTATGGTCTGATTTTGATGAAATTTTTAGGAACTGTCAGAAGTGGGCCAAGGAAGAGATGATTAGTTTTTGGTGGTGATCTGGATCAATAATCAATAATCAAATATCAATCATCAACATAGCTCAAAAAGCTATGGACCGATTTTGATGAAATTTTCAGGGTAGGTCAGAAATGGGTTAACTTAGAGTTGATTAGTTTTTGGTGGTGATCTGGATCAATAATCAATCAATTATCAATAATGAAAAATCAATCATCAACATAACTCAAAAAGTTATGGACCGATTTTGATGAAATATTCAGGGTAGGTCAGAAATGCATGTAAGTTAACTTAGAAGTGATTAGTTTTTGATGATGATATGGATCAATAATCAATAATAATAAAAAATTGCTGTCTTTTCATAGGTCTGTGCTCTCGGAGTGCTTTTCTTGTTTAAAGTCATAGTAACTCTTCGTTTTGGCCAAAAATTGGATTTTCCTGGAGTAAACGGCAATTTTCCCGTACTTACCAACGGTCAATGACCCCATCTCTGCATTCAAAGTTAGTCCAGGGTTTTTTTCCTAAACGTTTGATTTTTTGTTAAAATCTCTTGAGAAATCTCTTGAGAGATTTTAATTGACGGAGCCCTTTCTGACATTGCATAGTCACGCGATATCAGTATTTTCTGGTGACCTACTTAAAACCGCGGGAAAAGCAGACAACAACAACACTATCTAACAATAATACAAGATTCATAAGATATATTCGTCTTATTGCTCAAAATACATTTTTATCTACAATGTGTGCAGTTCTGGGCTTTTCGTTTTCTGACACACTGTACAAAACTCGAAACTTACGTCTGAGGATTGCATCATGCACCTCCTCTCATATGGCACTATATGTTATTTTGCTCTCAAATAAACATGAGAATCCGCCTGACACCCAAACATCATTGACAACAGATGACTGGTAAGACTGGTAAGAAAGGCATCGAAAGCCCTATTGACAAGCACAGATTTAGGTTTTACTATAATAACAGCCGTTTTAGTGGTAAAATACAATGTAATATATTTTAATGAGTTGTTTACAATGTATTTTTTTGCAGAATTTTGAATCTCAAGGGAAGAATTATTATTGCTTTAAGGGATGTACCCAAATATGGCTAAAAATCGTCAATTTGGGTTTTTTATGTCTAATTATTGGTTAAATGTCTAACAAAATAAATTTTTTACATTTTGAACAAAAAATGTGTTTTTTCTGATGTGTTTTTTCTTTGCCCCACCTTCATTGTCAAGGGCCATTGGCATGGGTAAACTCGGTGGGCGGACCTTAAGAGCATCAGCATGACTAGAAAAACAATATAGAACAGGGATGCGCCATGCCCCCTTTGTCATAAACAGCGATTGGCAAAGAAGTGCCTATTGTTCCGCTTAAGCTGTTTTGATAGTCGCTCTTGATTGTATTCAGCGCTAAGATGAATCTTTTCCAACACATTGGATTTGCTCAAAATACGCATTCTCCCTTGAATTGCTTGTTGTTACACGCGCTCTTTCGATTTTCTTGTTAACTTTTTGAGATACGCATAAAAAGAAAATTCTGTTGCTTGCTACCCATGACAGCAACTGTCATACTATCGATCCATCTTCGACAACAGCTCGATGCAGTCGTTAGATTTTATATGAGCTGGAGTATAAGCCCTAGCATTTTAAACATAAATGCTAGTATATACCACGAGGTACAGTTCTGGATGCATGTACGCACTTTCAAGGCCGACATGGTGCTTTTTTCTTCAACAATTATCGCAGAATTTTTCCTGACTCACCCAACTTTGGACATTTCCTCTAACAAAGCCTTTCTGGTTGCATCTGTTTCTTGTTGTTGATGGTCCGATTGGCATCCTGTAACACGGCCAGGTTTTCTAACCATTTTTCGCTCGGCGAATGTGGACAAGACCGCCTGCAATGCTGCTATTGTGTGCACATCCTAGAGCGCATCCCTAACACTTGCCCCGACATCAATTGACGTGATTGGTTGAGTAGTTAGAGCTTACTTGATTGCCTGTCAATCATTCTGGCAGTGCTAGCGGTAACTCCTTGAAGTTAGTAACAGGAGGTGAGACTGATACAAAAAAAAGATTTTCTGACATCCAAATGCATGCAAACAAGATAATTTCAACCTGCAATAGAGTACCCATCTTTGCAATTGTCAGCACGATAACAGGTAAAGCCGTCAATGATTTAATTTGCAATTTTGGACAATTAACCTCCCTGAAAGGGTTTTTGCTCGTTTTCTTCGCTTTCAAGATTGACGAGATAGCGTTATTTGAGCGAGCTATAACTGCCTACCTGTACACCTGAGGGAGACCAAATTCACCATGCTCATTAAGAAAAGTATGCACTTAAAGTGCTTTTTAAGAAAATTTGATTGATCCTCTCTTTTCTAATTTATTGACTTTGAAAGTGAAAATTCCTTAATATTTTGATGTAATTTCACGTTTTTATAGATAAAATCAACAATAAGTCTCTAAAGAAAAATCCCCGACTCCCTTTTGTAGTACTTTGTTCAAGTGTTATAATAACATTAAAAGCATGTTTATAGCTGTCCAGGTGCCTGAGAAAATCAGGTGTATAAAAATGGTGTTTTTGTCCCCAAAATACCAATATTACGTCACACGATAGAGCCGTGTTCTAAGCATAATTAGATGTTTTGAAGATACATTAAATGAATATGACAGGAATAAAAAAGCTAAGACCTTTTTTTTAAGAGAAAATCTCAAAACTACATTCCCTCCTTAATATTGCATCAAAATTGACAAAATGACCTATTTTGCATCTTTCTTTTCTGTTTTTTGTCTGTACATTTGACAGCTTTGCTGCCTTGTTTAATAATAGCCCTATTATTAAAAAAATACATTTTTCAGAATATTTCTTCAAGCTCTCATACACATCCAATACATCAATGGCAAGTAACTGCACCAATGAACGTTTCGGATGGAACATACGTTCATTTCTTCGGGCTGTGAACTTGAGCTGTAGTAATGGTGCCTCTCTTTATACCTCACATGAGGGTATCATTAAAATGAAAGGAACACGGGTAAATGTATTAGTACAGTGTGTACCTTAAATCATAAATGATTAATTTAAAATTGGTTCTTAAAATTATTTCCCAATGGTAAAAGGCAAGCTATATGTTCTGTTCAGTATAAAGAAATAGGTATTAATGATAGTAACTAGATTTATTCTGTAAAATAATTATGATTCTCATTTTTAGATGAATGATATAACAGTTGCATTTGTTCAACTGGCGATGTATTTTTTTATGTTGATGGAATTATATATCAGTTACCCAGCATAAATAATAATAATAATAATAGTCAACCATAATACTTTAATTTGATAAATGACATTCAGTTTGGTGGTACACACCACTCCCCTCTTAACTTCAATTTACTAATAAGTTGAACTTGATTTTCCTGTCAGACCAAAATTAATATCATATGGCGGCTGCATTTTCTTGGCACGCGTGCCTTCTCCGTCACACTAAGCAGGGTGTCAACATGTGGAAATAGTCTGAAACGTGTGGTCAACAACTTTCTCTCTGGTTTGAATAAATCTGCTTTGAACACAACAGCTGAATGTTGGGAGTTGGGAAAACATGAAATATCAGTGGTGGATTCTGGATCGAGTTGCTGGAGATCAAGTGCCCTGGATCCAGTTTCTGAATACTGCAGACCAAGTAAGCATTATTGGTACAGTCATGTTGTAGTAATCAGGTCCATAGATGTGTGTGTGTGTGTCCGGTAGGGGAGGGGGGTTCGAAAAAACGTCCCTTTTTGCCATGAAAAGGTCCCCTCTCGGTAAAATCATATCTAGGTACAAGAAATTTTCATGGTAAAAGAAAATGATAATTCACTAATTCTTTCATATATTAAAAATGTGTATATTTTTCAAAATTTGAGAGATGTAGAGATTCATACAATAATTGCACCTTAAGGTTTTGAAGTTTTGAAGCTATAAAGATGGGAATAAGCCATAAGTTGTTATTGGTGATAATTAAAATGTTTGTCCCCTTTCAGTTCTGCTATCCTAATTTTCAGCTCCATCAATGCTACTGAGCTTCCATCCAAATTTCAACCTCACTGGTCTGAATGCTTCCTGCCTTAGCGGCTACAGAGCTAAGGCATTTAACCAGATTTCTAATTTGAGGGCAGAAATGGTTGAACTCGTTGACAGTGCCTGTGGAGAAGACAATGTTTATGTTCACCCAATCAACAGGGATCTCTATAATCAGTCTATAATATCAAAGGTACTGTATTCAAAACACATGGCAATTGCTCACCTATTTCTTACACCACTGATTGAAGTTTTTATAATTTTTTTCACCCAAGGATCATTATTGATGGTTCCTTGTGAAACATAAAACTATATAGTTAAAGAAATTTGTATTATAAAAAGTATGCTTTTTGTACATATTGATAATAGTTTGAATTACTTTAATAAACACTTAAATGAGACGAACTAATTTTAATATAAGGTACGTTAATATGAATAATTGAAAAGAAGCAGAAGCACCTACTTTTATTATTTGATTAGTAGATAATTGTTACAAATTTTTTGCCAGTAGTCACAAGGGGTAAATGCTTAGTATTTACATGTTCACTTACTATATTTACATAACGTTACAAATGTTTATTTTTCCTACCAGAATCCATTTGAGGTCACCTATCTGTTTGAGACAATGGGTTTTCTCTCTCAATCAAAATTTGCTTCCTGTCTTGGAGACATTATACAACCAATACATAAAAGGATCAATACAATACTTGGTGGACTTCACATTTTTGGCCATTATCTTAACTGCCCTGCAATTACCACGGCACCAGTAAATGTAACTCATGACTGGGAGTGCGCATACAGATATTTTCCAGTATATGACAGAAGGACAGGCTGGTGTGATATTGTCGCAGGTTAGTAATCATTTTATTAACACATGACTAGATGTGACTAGCTACAGGATATTGATATATCCATGTGATTATACTTTTTGTTGCATAATGTATACATGTATCTATACATGTAAATGGAAATGTGAAATTTTTTTTTTTTTGGGTATTTTAAGGTAATTTTTTTCCTACCAATGTTTAAAATGTTTCATTATTTATCAGATTTTTATTTTGTCAAAAAATGATTATGTAATTAATTTAAAACAAGTTTTTCCAAACAACATAAAGGCTCAAACCGACTTTTTTTGATGGTATCTAAAAATAAATTTTTGAAAGAAATTTTTATTACTTGAGATGATTTAGATAAGACTGACCCTCAAATGAAATCTCTTTTCCTTTTGTCACAGGACCTGATCGTAAGTGTCCATCAGAGCCCTGTAACAATGGAGGCAGTTGTATACAGAACCCAGGTGATCCCAATGGAGCCACTTGTTTGTGTAGACCAGGATTCACTGGACGGAAATGCCAAACACCAAGTTAGTAAAGTACCCTTTTTCAGAATTTATTGAAAGTGCGAGATTCAGTATCAGAATACTAGTATGTTTCTCAGTATGTAACAGATGTTATTCGGACAGACAGACTGGAAGTTAATCTGAGGCCAGTCAAGTGAGGTGAGTCCAATGGTTTTTAACAGTGATTCAATCACATTGTTATAAGTCAATCTACTTTCTAGCTGATTTATAAATTTTGACAAAAAATTGTGACATCCGTCAGGGGCGGGTCCAGAGCTATTTTCTGACAGTCTTCCAAATATCTTTGTTGATTCATCCTCCAATTTTGACCGTCTTCCAACAGAAAAAATTAGATACCCGTCAATGTAAACTTGAAAATCTGACTGTCTTCCGGAAGACCCAGAAGACGGCTTAAATCCGCCCCTGTCCGTATTCCAACTTTGATAGTCTACATAAGAAATATAGTCTGCTCACGATTCAATCAAGTATGAGATAATGTTTTTTAAAACCCACGATTATGCCTGACGATTATTTCAGTAACTACAGATCCAGAACTTCGTTTCCAACTTTCTCATGGGATAACATGGAGTGGCCTGCTAAATAATACGTGCACAATACACTATGTGAAGAAAGCCAAAGAGTTTTTGACCCAGTATCAAAACTTCGTTATCGGCTTTATCAGTTCGTCATGCAACTACACTTTGCAACCTGGATTTGAAGTACAATTTAACATGTCCCAAAATGCGGTACGTATTATTCAGATTTTAGCAGTTTTCATATGTAGACGGCTTTATCGAAGAGGTTCTATTAGAGAGAGAAATTAAACACCCATATTTTGCTATGTTACCGTTGTCATATCAGCGGTAGGCTACATATGTTTCAGTGATTTTAACAGAATACCCAGCACACACAACATGTTTTAAAACATTACCATAATGTTTTTGGTTATTTATGGTAACGTTATAATAGGGGCCTAACATTTTGACTGCTGGGTGTAAACTGGCCTTTTATGCCCCCTATGAACAATACGCATAAACCTGAATCTAATTTTCTTTTTCTTTGTACTGGAAGTTCTACATTTGTGCCATGTTTTCATGATAATGATTTTCATATTTTATAACCTGCAGACTAATTTTACCAGTACCACTGTATGGTTTCGCACGATATTATGAAACAAATAAAAATGTGTATACCAGTAGGCCTACCAGTAACTTGTGCTCTTTAAATTATATTTTCAGGGTGAAATGATAGTCTTCAGTGGAATCTTAACACCGACAAAGAATGATACAAATCTGACACTGTTTGACACCTGTATGGCCACTGTTGCTGCGACTGCAAGTAGCTTTATGACTACTATGTTAAGTGGTGCTTCCACTCCTGGCTGTTCCGCTTTGCAGCTGGCGCCTGGGGCGCAACTCGTGGCGCGGCCATCGTGGAGCTGCGCAGTGGGAGAGTTTGTGTACAACGGAACCTCGCGGTCTTGTGAAATCAACTAAACGGAACTTTCTTTCAAAGATATTGTTTTGTTCATGGTCATGATTTAATTTGAAGTATTAAGAAATTTTTCTTCTCATTTTAAAGATCACATTGTGATTTTTTATGTACATGAACCGGGTACCTAGCTGCTGTATATAGGCTAATTCTGATATTTTCTATAACGTTCCCTTTTATATTTAATCAAGAACAAAAACAAGAATCTGTGTTCAGAATCTGCCTATATTGTGTTTATTTGGACCTATATATGCATTATTGCATCTTTTGAAACTTTTTTTTTTATTTGAAAAACAATCGTCTTATGTAATTACAGTGGAAGACATGAACCAACCTGTATATACATGTATTTATAAAACGCTTTTGCAATTTCTCCTGATCATTTGGAAGAGTGTCAACATGTTTCTTCAATATGAAAAAGCGTTGTGGTTTCTTTTTTAGATGTGTTTTTAATTTGTACAAAAGGTTTTTATTGAACTTGTACATGTACTTGCGTAATACTAATACAGTCCTGCCCACTGAAGACGCAACAGATCTTGATGACTGCCAACTTAATATAACGCCATCAAAAGCGATAATCAGGATTACGTAAAGGGATTATTAATTAATTGTTGCCGACGAGTTATCTTCAAGTAGCTGTCAGGGCAATGCATTAGGCCTAATGAACCCAGGATCAGTCCATGGCTGAGTTACTGGTAGGTACATCTATATTATAATTCAGTGATTTGCATGTTAACGTACGCAGGCCTACCAAATGTACACTGACAGGAACATAATAAGTAGGCATATATATATATATATATATATATATATATATATATATATATATATATATATATATCAATTAGTATCTATTTAAAAAGGATTTCAGAAATATAACAAGTATTTTAAATGTTTAATTACTAACTGCTGGTACATACTGTACTTTGTTTAAAAAGAAATAAAATGATATTTTCTTAACCAGAGTTTGTTTTATTTGTGTGCTTCTAGCTACCTGCATGTCCTCACACACGAAGTATAAACGCTTAATTATACATTCCACCTATACATGCACTGTCATGGAGTAATGAAACATTTTATCTTTACATATACCAGATATAACAGTACTACTAGTATTGGGGACACGTCTGTTATGTATAAATTTGGGGCCCCCGCTATTCGCCAGTTTATCTAGTTTGAAAGACATACATGTAGGCCTACTATATGGCAGTGTACATGTACGCGTACGTACGTTCATCGCGTTCCTTGAAGGTCTTTTTATGTACAGACACAGATGTGTCTGTACATATAGCCATCATCTGCGTCTGTCATCGCCGTCGTCGCCGTCATCGCCGTCGTGCANATATATTTATAATCAAAGATTAAAAGTTTGAATAGCAGCTTCATTGAAATTATATTTACCTCAGGCTCTGCCTAGGAGGTATATTTTCACCCCTGTTTGTCTGTCATCAACATAACTCAAAAAGTTAATTATGGACCGATTTTGCTGAAATTTTCAGGAACTGTCAGAATTGGGCAAAAGAGGACAATGATTAGTTTATAGTGGTGGTCTGGCTCAATAATCAACAATTGCTGCCTTGGCAGAGGTCTGCACTCTCGGTGGTTTTCTAGTTTTGTTATGTTTTCCTTTACAATTTTTTCTCAAACAATTGCATTTGTGACTTTTAACTCTCACCCACTCGAGGCTCTGCACATTTTCTGTATTTCCACATAGGCAATTGTATTGTTTTTTATGTCTTTAAACATTATATAAAATTATTTTATGCACTGTCATCATTTTTCAAATATTGAACTTTCATCATGTGACTATATATATAGTCTCTCATGGTCCTGAAACTGTAATCTTATATTGAAGGGGTGGATTGAGACCATTTTCTGGGTCTTCTTGAAGACAGGTTATTAAGTTTATATTGATTGGTATCTATTTTTTTCTGTTGGAAGACCATAAAAATGGAGGAGGGATCAACATAGATACTTTGGAATACTGTCAGAAAATATCTCAGGGTCCGCTCCTGTTATTGACCATGTTACCTGTTGTGCATGATTAAAATTCAGTGTTGACTGACAGTGCTATTATAAGCATTATTTATTATTGCATCAAAATTGACAAAATGACCTTTTTTTGCATCTTTATTTTCTGTTTTTTGTCTGTACATTTGACAGCTTTGCTGCCTTGTTTCTTCATTTTTTCCCCTTTTTGGGGGGGGTGTATTCTATTTTTTTTAATCTTCATATTAAACAGATAATGCATTAGAACAATATTGAACGTTTGTTTGCATGTACATGTACCGGTACACTTGGATATGTGTTCATGTACCTGCATGAATGTACAAATGTAGCCTAACATCTTGGTGTGGACAATCAATGTGACCTAATTCGTAATTGCGATAGTTGTGACGGCCTTGACCTAATTGCGTTGAAGGTGACGATCAACGTGTATAAACATGGACGTACGCTGGCAGTGGACTGCACTGCAGTATATAACTTGTTCATTACTGATAGTCGAGTGTGCTAAAAAGAAGAAGGAACTCCAAATAATTACAGAGGTAAGCTGCATGATTCTGGGGCAAAGAAAGAGAAATTGTGACATTGTATAGTAATAATATAACTGTTTTAAGTTTCGTGCTGCAACCCGCCAGCTGTAGTGTAATATAACCACTTAATTGCCGCAGCAAATTCTCACTTTTAATAAGTTCATTGAACTTCAGACCTAGCTCTGTCACTGGCCATCGCACTGCATTACAAGTATTACAAGCAGCAATTTATTTTCTACTTTTAATAATTCTAATTTTTACTCAGAATAAGGCTCGTTGTGTGTGTGTGTGTGGGGGGGGTGGGGGGGGGGGTATCCTTACTTGTATTTAGATTTTAGTATTAGTGCATGTGCTATAGTGTGAAATTGCCTCATGTTGCATTTGATCACCACAGTTACTTAACGTTCAATGTCTGTAATCGTATTTCTATTTCGCAGCACAAGCCTGCAGACTGCAGTGTAAAGGCAGGCGACGGAGACCATGTTGAAGTTCATTATACGGTAAGTACATGTACCGCCCCCACCCCCACCCATCCTCACTGCAACGTGTACCAAAAGGCACATTTACAGAATAGTATTTAAGGCATAATTTTAAACTGTTTCTAGTACTAGTATTGTGTAAGTAGCTCAACATTAGTAAGGTCTGTAATCTGTTTCATTGGCACTGGGAAATGGTACATTTTACTTACATGTGCTATATTACAATTAAATATTGTTGAAGTAGCAGTGAGGGTGATATTTACAAGGGACAATGCCATGGAGGGGTGGAAAAGAAAATAATTCTTGACATTCTGGTCCGGGTATCAGGATAACAGCCATATTTAACCATCCAACCATGATAAAACCGGCTCCTGAATTTTTCTGCAATTTTTCATTTTAATTTTAGATTGTTCAGACTTAAATGTACTGCTGTCAAGGTACAAGTGCATGTACTGTACAGGTAGATTAACTATTATTTTGATTTGTTTACTGCATGATTGCATGTATTCTTCCATGTGCAGGGGAAATTAGATGATGGTTCTGTGTTTGATTCTTCACGCACTGAGGGCAGGTCACCCCTGCCATTTACACTGGGAGCAGGGAAAGTTATTCCAGGTAATCATGAAGGGTGAGGCATGGTGGAGAGAGAGAGAGAGAAAGAGAGAGAGAGTGGGTGAAAAAGATTGAGAGAGAGAGTGTTTGTGTGTGTGTGTGTGTGTGTGTGAGAGAGAGAGAGAGAGAGAGAGAGAGGGGTGCATAAAAAAGGAATAGATTCATTGAGAGTGGAACAAGAAATATGGGTAGATAAAGTTGAATAAGGGGAGTGAATAATCGAAGCTAGAAATGGCTTCTTTGAGAGAAAATGGAACGCTTGTAGTGCCTTTGGCTGATAATTTGTATAATTTCAGGTTGGGAACAAGGGATTTTAGGGATGTGTGTTGGGTGAGTTACTCTTAATTTTTTATTGTTCACATGAATTTTACAAACTTACGCACATAATAAAATTTCAAACTTTTAATTGAGTTGACATTTTATGAACTCAGACAAAAATTAACCTAATGGGATGTTGGGTATTTTGAACTTGCAGTGAAGTCTTTTGCTGTAAATTTCATCTCTTGCATATATATCATTATTTTGGAATTGCACACCTATTTGTATTTCTGGTCTTTTTTCAGTGAGAAAAGAAAACTTATCATTCCATCTCATCTCGCTTATGGTAAAAAAGGGCACCCCCCTGTCATTCCAGGTAGAGTACAATACCAGGTTATAATTATTGCACTAAATTTGAATGCATTACAATTTAATGAGATTCCTTATTAAATTCGCCCAAGAACCTGAAACAATGTAGGGTTACCTTGGGAAAAATTATGAACTTTTAAAAAGGAATTGAAAACTCACATTTTTAAGACATTTTATTCATGAATTTTAAATTTTACATTAAAGAAACCTTGGGTTTTTTACTTTTATTACTGTTTATTACAATTTAGTCTAGTTCTGATTTATATAATATATATCTAAACTATTTATATCTATAAACTTCTTTGTATTTATGTTGTACAGTCTATTGAACATTTTATGGATTTTAGACTCGAAATAAATATATTATTATTATATTATTAACATAGCAGAAAGTATATTTTTATACTGTTGACCAACGGACTCCATTAAAAGTGGTTATATAATGATATGAAATATTATATAATGTTGTAAATAATAGTTTAAATAGGGGTGCTTAAAATGTACTCAACTGCTATCTAGGTAGTGTCTTTATTTACAAATGATAATAATAAATTAAAGGAATAAATAGGATGATAAAATAATGAGAAAATAAAATAACAGCAAAAATGATAATAATAATAATAATAAGAGATACATGTTTGGGAAAAACAGTTAGAAATGCAGTTTCAGTGGTGTACTTTCTGACATTAAAGTAACATTAAAAAACTTATTTTGCAGGTGGAGCCACTCTTCATTTCGATACAGAGCTAGTGGGACTGACTAAGAAAACCGTTGAAGGGAAACTACTGAAGACTCTTCAGTTTCTGTTGATCCCAGCAGCTGTTCTCATGCTTTTATACTATTTATATGAAAGATTATCTCAGGCTCCAGCAAAAGAGGAGAAGAAAAGCAAGAAAAAACGCAGATAGTTTAACGTTCTAAAAATGTTTTCTTTATAACTTTAACTTTTTCTTTTCTTTTTGTCTGTTTGAGAAGATAGAGGAAATTCTGTAGCAATATATAAGAAAATGGATGCATTAGATGGGCTTTCACTGGCATAGAAACATGTATGCAATCTAGTTTTAGTGTTTTGTACAACTGTTTACTCGTACTTGCTCTCTGAACTGATGCATTAGCTGGGCTCTTAGGCAGAGAGGCAGAAGCTGAGATTTACAAATATATGCAAATTCTATCATATGCTGTTTGAAGTTTCAATGCTCGTTTTTATAGAGAATAACAGATCACCATAGAGTGGGTAGAAATTACAATAACTTTCAGGGTTTGAAGATTTGTAATAACAGAGATCTAATCATCATGTCTTTGTATTTTTCAGTACAATTTGTTATTGTTATGTTTGGGTTGCCCTTTTCTGTTGATGAATTTTTTGCATATTATTTATTATTTTATTTGTATATGATCAATTTTCTCCATTCCATCACACTGGCGTATTTGAGATGTCCAGATAAAATGTGTGCAAATAAAATATATAATAATTTGATAAATAAAATTAAATGACATTGTTTTACTTTGTTGCAGCGGACTTTTGGTGTGGTTTACAGTGTGAAAAAATATACTGAAAATTAAGTAAAATGAAATTGTTCTCTCAATTAAAAGTGTCATATATTTGATCTCTGTATGAGAGGCACTGTACTCTTTTGTTATTTAAGGCATTTTTGTTCATGGAAAGCCAATTATTGTGCAATGCCGCTAAGTTTATGTGTGATGAACAGTTCATTCATTAACAAACAAACTACTTCAGTGTTGAACTAAGGAGTCGACAAGGCTGAATTTATTTGGATATCTCTTCCTCACTTAATATTTGAAAAGATTCAATAAAATCAAACTTTATCATGGCCAAATAATACATGCTTAAACCATTACCTTCAAATAATGAATATTTAAATCAAAAACAGAACAACAATAACATTGCTCTTTGTTGAGCAATTCTTTGTCACTGGCTTACACATACAAAATGCAGTCATTGATATTCAAAGGAACATAAGTGGAATTTTAGAACTAAGGAATAAAATTGATGACCCAGATTTTCCATGAATTCGAAATATTTCCAGGACTTAAATATCCAAGAAGTATGCATCACAGTCCACATTTCAGTCAGTAAGTCAAATGGAAATTCTTTCCTTGCTTTTTTAACTTTTGAGCAGAAGGAAGAAATTCCAGGTAGGGTAAGGCAAGAAACAATGTCCAAACACATTTTGTACCATGTTTCTTAAAACATTTTATGAAAAAGACAGACCCATATGCTGATTCTTGACAGGAAACTGAACATAAAAGCCCTTCATTACTGATAAAATTGCACTACATATGATTGTCCCAAAACGGTGACCCTGGAGCAAAGTAGAGCTTAAGGTCTCGATCCTTCCATGATGAGCAGTACACGTAACTGGACCAGATCACCCAGAGAATGCTGAACTTGACAACTAAATTGCCTGCATTAAAAGTACGAGAGTCGCATCCAAGTGTTCGAAATCGCAAATTAGGAAGCAGATGTGGAGAACCCATTACAGGGAATGTCAGAATGTCCAAAGATGCCATCATTTTCATATTATAAAACTTGTCTGCAGAGAGTTAAACAGAAGACTACTTTCTGGCGTTTTCCATCATCCTGGCATGCTGCGGCCTCTTCAGTCCAGTGATGTGGTGAAGACGGACTATCCCAGACTGTCCCGCGCTGGCGACCCACAGGTGAGAACCCATGTTGTTGTTACTGCTTACCTGGAAATGTTATCACAAATATATCCATTTTAAGTAGGCCAATTTACTTTGTCACTGAGCGCATTAAGAACAGGGGACTAACAGATCCGTGGATCAAATATGGCCACATTCACATCAAGTTGTGCCACATGGCTCTACAAAGCCACAACCTAAATATGGCGGACGTACTAGTATATGAAAGGAAAACTGCCTAATCTTTGGGGAGAGACAAAGACTCACCTGGTAAATTGCCTGCAGTGGAAACTGATCCAGGTGATCATGGTTCATTTTAAAGTTCTGCAGCCTTGGATCAGGTCGTATGTTACTCTAGAATAAACACGATACAAATATACAAATTCAATGTATATGTATATGCATAGGCATATGTACTACTGCACACTAATCTGCATATGAACCAAAGATTTACTGATGATGAATTCTCTGCTGCTATTAAAGCCCAATGTTCAAGGCTTTTTTTTTTTCTCGAATCTTTTGTATTTTTTTAATCCACCAGATATACATGTACATTGTTGACTTACCAGCTGCTTTTCTTTAAAAACCAAGCAATATTTTGACACTGCATCACTGTAACTTTCAGTCACTGGCACAGGCTTGGATTTGTTAGCATCTACTGCTGTCTTATTGGCTGTTGTAGACTGGTTGCTTTTCTTATTGGCTGTTGCTATTTCTGTTGCCTCTTGATTGGTTGCTTCTTCAAGCTCTCCTCCATTTTGATTGGCTAACTTCCCTTGTTTGCTGCTGTCGCTAGGTTGAGATGAGGAGGAAGGATCTTGCCCCTGGTTCTCTGGATGTTTAAGGGTCTCGAGGTCAACATGATATATGCCCTGAAATGTTATCAACCAAGATTATCAATTTATCAAAACATACTTCATATAATGTAACAGTATGTATTCTGAAAGAAGAAATGCGGAACTATTGGTGATTTTCTGAAGACAAAATGTGCAATAAAATGCACTGGGATGAATTAAATGTATGCAGCAGTTTATGAGCACAGAGTAAGCTGGAAATCATTTTAAAGCTTGTAAATGAAAACTGATAAAACAATAAAAAAGGAATTTCTCATTTACTGGCTAAAGAAATCCTATTGTATAGGTGTTATAGCTATGTGTTACAAGACTGTTCAACATACACAATTATTCAACCACCACCTCTCTGTGCAACTGAAATATGTGCAACTGAACAACAAAAGCAAAGACGGTGTTCTGGTTCTCTATCCCTATCAACTTACAAAGCGTCTCCTTGCAAAGGTTTTGGTGTCCCTGTTCACCATCATGAGGCTAGGCTGGACACATGCCATCACCTCCCCGGCCGAGTCGCAGTCCACCAGCATGTTAAGATAGTCTGAGAATGTACAGTGCTGAAAATTAAAATATACAATACATCACCAAGGGTGCTTTCCCAGAGATTTAGATCGATCTAAAGATTAAGATTTAGATAGACCTAACTCCCTGGGGGTTCACGCTAAATTGCAGTCAGCCGAGCGGGCACCATAGTTAATTAAACCCTTACAGCTTTTATTAGGCAGGACAGATGCTTAATCCGGCCAAGCTGACAGTAATCTAGTGAGACTCCCCACAGGGATAGATCGATCTAAAAATCTATGGAAATGGGGTGTAAGATTGCCTTTTTGAGAATGCCCACACAAACTGTAGTGAAAACCAAATATACATTAAATACCAAGACTTCCACATTGAGAACATACAGTGCTAAAAATCAAGCTATATTATTATACGCCAAGACTGCCATTTTAAAAATGTACAGCGCTCAAAATCAGTATATAATACATTAAACATCAAGACTGCCATTTGGTCATGTACAGTGCTGAAAATCAAAATACAATGACACTGCCATTTTGATAATGCCTACATTCTCGCACAAGTTTCTGCAACACTGAGAGAGAATGGTCGTCACCTCTTTTCATATTTTCTTTTTAAAAATTAGCAACATTTTTCTTATAATGATGACACTCTGGCAGGCAAATGGAGTTACGTATCAACAATTACTAACAATTTTTCTGAAAATCTGCTGGTTTTCCACAAGATGACATGACATGAGAGAAACAAACCATATAGCAAAAAAGTTGAGTCATACTTTTTTTACACTAAAAGGCACCAAATAAGCTGTCTCTCATTTTTTTTTTTTTTTTTTGAATGAAGTTTTGAATTTCTGGTTTATTTTACACACTCAGTTTTCCTTATGACGTTAATTGGACTGGCTTTGGTTTATGTGTAAGTTTATCCTAATCCCAGCACAGCACTATGTGATATATAAATATATACCTGGGGTAGCGCTAGCAATTTGTTTCACTTGGCCAAATCGCCACTTTTTTTGTCAATTTGTTATCAAAATGGTTATAATTTGACAAAACAAGTCAAATCAAGCCCTTTTTCTTTAGCCAATTTAAATAAGTTTTAGCATTTGGCTAAACTGGCGAGTGTTAGCGCTACCCCTGTATACAAATACCTACCCAGGTAAATGACTTATGGGGCAGGATGGTCTTGGGTGTATAACCAAAGTAACCACACTCTGTATACCTGGTACTGTTACGACCAAAACTGAAATAGAAGTCGAAAGCATGGGTCATGTGATGGGCCATGTGATGGATCATGTGACATATGAACATCTGATATTATCGAATATCATTATTCCCAGTGATGATGTGTGTTACAGTATCAAAAACAACACTTTATCCAAAATTAATAAAATTTTTATTATTAAAATAAATAGGATAAAACTTGCAACAAAGATATTTAAAAAATGAACTTTGTCTTACAATTAATCTAAATTTACTACACTTTTCACATCAACTATAAACAGTTTACCCACAAGTAATGTATCAGGGAGATTAAATAAATTACAAGTGTTAAAGTAACAAAACCTTGCTGCTTGAGCTCATAATTTTTGTTACATGTAATAGATTTACTACCTTAAATATGTACAGTGTACCATAAAAATGAAATGCACCACACCCTTTGACACTTACCAGGCCAAATCATCAGCTGCCAGGTAAAGTCCACACCAGTACTTTGGCCACTCAACGAAATTAATATTCCCAAATTTCATCAAAGGTGTACAACTATGATTATAAGGACTCTCTGGATCACGCAGGTCCCAAATTTTCACGCTGCGTTCCATTCCAGATGTGGCAATGTGATTGGATGAAAAAGGGCACCAGGTGACGGAACGAACTAAACAGTTATGGACGTTGAAGACTTGATAGGGGTAAAGCACCTGAACGCCATCTATATTTTCGTTTTTCAGGAGAGAGCTGGCGGTGGTGAGACTCCATATGGCTAAGGATCCTGCAACATATTTATTCTAATCTCAAACTAAACACTAATAACTAACTTAAAGTCAATCATTGCTGACTGGAATTACTTTACATGAGCAGAAAAGGGTAATATGTATGAGTACCTGTTATCTTATTCATTTTGGTATTTTTTCCTTCATTTCAAAATATACCTGTCTCAGTTTTTATTAAGGAATCTTAGCAGCAATAACATTTCTAGACGTATCCATCTCTTTCTCTCTCTCTATCTCTCTCTCTCGTAGCCTCTTTTCATGACAGAAATAGGCAATTTAAGTACCTAATGACTAATAAAAAAGGGGGAAATACAGCACCCTACCCACCATCAGTAAGACCAGCTGCCAGAAGAGAGAGATCACTATAGGACCAGTCCATACATATACACTGGATTCTCTCTGTATCACAGTCTGCTGAAATGGAAGGACATTCACATATTTTCATATGACAGTGTTATGTAATGTTATGTTTAAAAAAGTCACTGATTAAGGAAAAAAATGGTTTCTTTAGTTAAGTGAAGTGAGACCCTATTCCATATTGTACAAATTCCAAAAACAAAAACAGACACAAAACTTTTAACAAGTTTGACACCATATCTAATGCTGTAATGACCCCAGCTAGCTTAAAGTACCAGTGATACTGTTACAGTATATGTCTGTTTTCAAGTGATTACAAAAATGATATAAAAGAGCTCAGTATCAATACCATGCCAAGTTATATTCATGTGCCAAGTTTAACTTTTTAGGTGATGAGAAAGAATACAGTTACCACAGAGGCTGTTATTTTTCCTGCTAAAAACCAAACACGCAAACATATAATTCTGTTGAGATACATTTGCCTCAGCTAGTTGTGGCCCAAACAATTGGTCAAACTCCATTATCTCCTGTATTCCTCCTACCTTTGTAAAAGGCATCTAATATCACAGTTGGCTTTGCTTGAAAGACTTTGACATCTCTCTGAGAGTCTTCTTTGGCCCCTTTCTCAGAGTCACCTTTGACCTCTGATAGACTTCCTGGATGAGGAATGCTGGGAAAATAATTAAAGTTATCATAACTTATTTTGTATAAAAATGTAATTAAAATACTTTACTAGAAAAGAAAAACCGAAGAATACAATACCTATTTCAAGTAACAGTTCATTAGTAAAAACTTGGATGTACTTTTTCTATTCTTGCCTACAAACATTAGGAAATGTACATTGCAAAGGTCATCACTATTCCAAGCTATCATACCTTAGAATATAAATGAGTCCATTTGTACAGAGAAGAGCTAAAAGACCCAATCTTGGTAAAACTCCTTCCTCACAGACCTGAAAAAAAGTGCTTTTTTAATAGATAAAAACTTAATAATAGTTATAGAAATGCTGAGTGAAAAGAATTGCTGTTACTGCTTTCACTTCCAAAAAATAAAATAAAATATATAAATAAAAATAATAATAGTGGCTATTGGTGCTGTATTTATACCAAAGGAGACACAAACTGAATTTAACAAGATAAACAGAGTTGTGTTCCTTTTTTAAATTAAAAAATGTTTTCTTCTGCTTATTTTAATCATTAAAATAAATAACCTCAACCCATACCTTATCCGAGGAAATAAAAGCACCAGTTGGACACCACTTTAGGCTGGTGACGGTGCCATATTCATGTGCAATACCTAGGGACAGCTTGGGTAGCCTAACTCTGGAGGGTGAGAAACATGGATAAAATTATTCTCAAATTTTAAAAAATTCACCTACTGTTTTTCAGTGCCTTACTTCTTCAAACAATTTTTAGATTGTTTCACTAACAAAAAACATGCTTTCTGACATGAGCATGTGTTGATTCATAATATGCGTGTAGCACTTAAAAATCATTTTAAAATATATATCTTCTCAAAAAGATCTTTTAATATTTATTTTCAACTTCTTACAATTATATTTGAAAACAATCAGAACTGGTCAAACAGAAGGCCCTAGATGGTTCCTGAAGATTTATATGCAATATTTAACTTACTGTTTCTTTTCCAAATTTCCACAGTCCCAAATCTGAACACATCCTTTGTCAGAGTAGACCCCATTCACAGGACTGACAAAGTCCATGTCTCTATGGCAACTAACAGCCAGCATCTGATAGGTTGATATCTTGATTGGCACAGGACACCATGATAATGACTTCACTGGACCCCCAACAAAAAAACTGAAGGAATTTTCTGAAACATGCAGATTTGTACTAGATATTATGAGACATAAATGTTACTGTGATAGAAAAACAAACATTAAAAATATATACTGGTACCAAAAAAAGTACAAACCACAATAACATCTAAAAATCAACACTTTTATGACAATTTAAATAATTAAACATCTGTAAGGCTCACCAGTGGAGCAGGCAGAAAACTTCGACAGTGTCTGAGGATCTGTAGCTCGTTGCTTTGAGGACTGGACCACCTTAAACTGGGGGCTGGTATCAGTCTTTGGAAGATATTCTGCAGCTTCTCTGGATTAGAAATAGGATATCATTTAAAAGGTGATATGAATTGACTACAGCCATGAATGTGATTCTGTCAACCAATATGAATTGCAGTGTTAAAATCATGATTAGAATTTTGTCACAGTCTGAGTGACTTTGGCTTCAGCTCATACAAATTTGGCTGCAACCCACATGACTTTGTATAAAACCCACATGGATATAGCTATCACCTGCACGGATTAGGCCATTACCCACTTCTATATGGCTACTACCCACATGGATATGGCTAACACCCACATGGATATGGCTAGCACCCATACAGATATGGCTACTGCCCCATCTGAAATTACTTACTCAGCACTGAGTTCAGTCCACATGTCACTCCTTGGCACCCAGTCCACAAATGCCGAGTCTTGGTCGTATTTCTGATGGAATTCCAGCCCCCATTGGAAGGCCTCTCTCTCGTCACACCGCCTTCCTCTGATTGGTCTCTCTCCTCCTCCTCTCAAGTACCTGCTGCCTGTCTCTGGCTCTGAGGCTGCAACACAGGGAAAATAGAAGGAAATTCAACTTTGATGTTTTATGACAAATATTGTAAATTGTAGGCCTGTTTATACTTTTTGTTTATTTACATCAAAAGTAGGCAAAAATGAAAACTAAACTAAACTAAACTAAACTAAACTAAACTAAACTAAACTAAACTAAACTAAACTAAACTAAACCAAATCAAACTAAACGAAACTAAAAGGAAATAAAATAAAATTTAAAAAATAAAATAAAATGAAAATAAATTGAGAGACAATTATGTCCAACTAATGGAATCACACACCCCTCCTCCCAATTTCTGATTTACCTATACTGTGTTCCGAAACTCCGCTTGAACCGTCATCTTCTTCTTCCTCTTCTGCTTCCGACTGGTTTGGTTCGTAATCTGACATGTCGTCTGCTATAGAGTCTAAGTCTTCACACTGGAACAATGTCGGACTTTGTTTAAACACTGAACAATTTCACAAACTCGACTCAATCCTGAATGTTAAATCATCCTATCCAAATGTGAAACCTATTCCAATTTTACGGAGAAGAATGGTTCTTATTTTGACATGTCATCTGCTGCCTGCAAGTTAAGGCTGGAATAAGTCCAAAGCGCACTTAGGGGCTGGAGAACTTTACTTACTGGATACTCTCTTGTATGTTCACTTCTTTAAAGCCAAATACTAAAAATACATTAATTTCACAAAGGAAAATGTAAATCACTTCAATTTTTCACCTTGTTAGCTTATGTTTCTGATCTAGCTTAAATCACCCAAGTTTTTGGCTAAAAGAAGTTTGTCATAACAAGAGTGAGTATGGACTAATTATGAGCATTAAAGCTTGATATCTCAATTTCTATTCACTTACATGTGTATGGGATAGTATCTTTTTACCATCCAGTATTTGATCTACTCTGAAAAAAAACTTACCATTTTCTTGGTCTTTTTCTTTTTCTTACTTTCCTGAAAAAAATAAAACAAAAATTAAGATAAAGCAAGAAATTATCACAACTTTCCATTCAAAAATTCTATGACATAATGTTAACACTTCACAACAATTTACATATTACTAAATAATTTCCACGCCTTTGGGACACAGTCACAATCAAGTTACAGGTATTTAGTCTTAGTATGATTTACACAAGATTTTATGGTCTTCTGAGGACATTCTGCCCTAAAGTCCCACAAATATCTATTGTATAAAGAGAACAAAGGGTGCATTCCCAGAGATTTAGATCAATCCAGAGATTTAGATTTAGATCGACCTAACTCCTAGGGGGTTCACGCTAAATTGCAGTCAGCCGTGCGCGCACCATAGTTAATTACCCCCTTACAGCTTTTAGTAGGCGGGACAGACGCTTAAGCCAGCCAAGCTGACAGTAATCTAGTGAGACTCCCCACAGGAATAGATCGATCTAAAATCTATGGGAATGGGGTCAAAGATATGGTGACAATAATCCTCACATCCTCCACAACACCACGGCCATGAAATCTAAGCACAAACAAAATGCCCACTTTCAGCAACAAGCCTTTATAAAACAATTTAAACCAAACAGGTTCCGAGTGCAGCCTTACCCATTCATGGTTCCCTTTTATGTGATAAATGACAGATGCCTGGGAGCTGAATTCCTTCTTACACACCAAACAAACATACTTGTGGCTTTCCAGGCCATTGTATTGGCAGTTCACGAAATGTGCCCTCATGCCAGGAATTGTAGTATAGGTGGCAGCACAACCTTCACTCTGAAACAGGATGAGACATTGTTAAAAATTACGAGGATATAGAAACAGAAATTGCATAATGTAAACTCATGATTTCTGGCTTACCAGTCAGGTTCCATGGCTAAGAACTTAATAACCAAGGCTACATGATCACATGGGCACATCTTAACCTATCAGGGGCAGTGTAACAGCACTCTCATGGCAATCCTAGTCTACTAAGCCAGGAAAGTGACTTAATTTTTTTGTGAACCAGGGCTTGGTCAGTGGCTGAAAGACTAACCTTGAATGGACAGTCCAACTGCCCAGTGGTTTCTTTCCATTTTCTCAACAACTCTGATGTCACTTCTGCCAATGGAGGGGCCTGGAACAATTTCTGAAAAAGCAAAAAAGTATATATATTATTATGAAATTACACTATGTTACATCTTAATGATAATCATTATAAATAATGCCTTCTTCTATAAAATACTGGTAAAACTAATATGTTACATGGAAAATTCATAAATGGCATTCAGGATTTTATTTTTACTAAGGGATATAAAATAATTACGTTGTTGATATCATGCATCAAGTCTTTGGATGAATTTATTGATTTAAGTTACTTGTATGAGACAAAATTAGGGGAACATTAGGTGTCAATAAAATCAGATATTAGATACAAATATTGGTAAGATTTAATAGCTAGGAATTTATGCCAGAGTAGGTTAGTCAAGAGAAGGTGTGGTGAGACAGGAATAGGCAGGAATTTAACTGTGATTCAGTACAAATCTGCCATTATGACATCTTGCAGGTAGACAAAATTCAGGCCGTAAAAGGTGGAATAAATAAAGTCCACAAATTGATTAAAGTCAAAGTAGGTTTAATTCTGACTGTGCCTATACAAACCTTCAATAAAGACATCTCGCTGACTGTCTGTTGAAAAGCATCTTCTACATCAGCAGCCAAGTTGTGGAGATTGGTCAATGCCCTGAAATTTAATAAAAAACATGAAGCTTATTCAAATATTTTCTTAACCTTATTTTCTTCTCACTTAGAGGCAGCCTTTCTTTTATTATCACATCCTAATTTTTATTCACTTTAAGGCAGCCTTCTTTTTATTTAATTACTTACTTGAAGCAACTTATTTCTTATTTTTTCAACCTAATTTTCTTCTTACTTTTTCATTTTAACAACTTTTTTCTTCTTGCCTGGAAGCAGTCTTTTTTACATTTTCACAACTTTTTTTCTAATTGCCTGGAGGCAGTCACTTTTTATATTTTCACCTTCACTTAGAGGCAGCTTTACTTAAATTTTCATAACCTAATATCTACTAACTTAGAAGCAGCCTTTCTTTTATTTCCTCGTCCTAATTTCCCTTCGTCCTCCATGACAGCTACCCCCTCTGGTTCTTCTTCTGTCACCACGCTGCCATGTTTGGGCTTCTTGGCCGTGTGCGCCTCACGCGTATGTGCCTGCAACCACATTGCTTTGTACTGCTTGCCGCATATGTCGCATGTCGCCATCTCATTCTGAAAACACATTTGATTTGAATTTTGGCACCAACTTTGACTGATTTGAAATCACAAAGACTGAGGAATACCTTTAAGGTAGACAAAAGCCATGCTTTTATTTAAGTTGTCATGTTCCATCATACATGTATAAAAATATAAAACATGACATTACATTTTGTTATATCTTAATTATAACAGACCTCCTAGAAAGATTTACCCAAATAAAAATTGCATTTTTCAAGAAAAATCAAACAAGAACTTCACTTCAACCCAGGCACATACTCACTTCATGCATGAAAAATGACAGATTTAACCTTTTACTTTAAAGATTCAATCACAAATTTAAAATTGTCATAACAAACAAAGTCTTCTTTCTAATGAAATAGCTCTTACCTCCCTGCCACACCAGTCCAAATGAAAGCAAAAGTACGGAAACACTTTAAATTCCTTTTTGCACTGTGGGCAATGTATCTTCCTGAGAGTTTTAAAGATCTTCCGCCGTGAAGGTCTGTCCGTGTCACCGCTAGGGTTTTCAGGGGTCCACTGAAAAGGGTAATAAAAAACCTTTAAAAAATCTCAAATAAAAAACAATAAACTCAAATTCAAATTACATTACATGCTGTGAAAATATCATGCATCAATTGACAAATTAAATTATCTACAAACTAGTATAAGATGTTTAATGATGAATATTAAAAAAAAAATATTAATAATATTCTTCCAAACTTAAATATCCTTGGTATACTGAGCACTTTGACAAAGTTTGTAAAGGTTTGTAGGATACTACAAAATTATTGGGTAACTCAAAGATTTTGTTCAAATTCAAGTAGGAAACTGCAAAACAAAACGGATTCATTACCAAGGCCGCATGTTCAACCATCAAATGGCGTTTCAAATTCTGCAGCACTGCAAATTCCTCCTTACAGTGGGGACAATTCTTCTCAAACTACAAATCCAAAACAGGCATAATACTAGTTTTAACTAATGCTTCATACAAAGCTCTATTTTCTTTATGCAAAATGAATCTCCCAACAATAATCTCTAGAGACACTAAGCATTAAGTGAGTTATTTATACAATTTATCTTTAAATCTTATTATTAGTACACTAGAAGTCTAATGCCAACATGTGTTGCTAATTATTTCAAACTGCAGCAATACCCGAAGCACCAATAAAATGTACAACTGAACTACAAAATTCCTATTCCTATATGCATTGTTTACAAATAATTCCAACAATCACCACAGTGAAAATATTTGACAGAAAGGTAAGATATCATCACTCTCAAATGTTAAAAAAAAAAAAAAAAAAAACGTAAGAAGAAAAATAGAATAAGGTATAAAAATTATTTTTTTCCTTATGAATGCTAGTACTGCACTAAATGAATATACTTACTTCAGATTCATCTTTCTTAGGCGTAGCTCCTCTTCCTCTGCCTCTTCCCCGTCCCCTCCCCCTTCCCCTTCCACTGGTGTCAGATATTGGAGACTGATTTCCAGGAAAAGGAATACCACACCCCTTGCCCCTCCCTCTGCCCCGCCCCCTTCCTCTGCCCCTCCCCCTGGGGGTAGATGTTTGCATTTCTAAAGTGTCCCCATCTCTCTCATCTTCATCTTTATCCACATCATCCTCTGAACCAGCAATGTTTAACACCTGCTTACTGCCCCTCCCTCTGCCCCGCCCCCTTCCTCTGCCCCGCCCCCTCCCACTGCCCCGCCCCCTTCCTCTGCCCCTCCCCCTAGGGGTAGACGTTTGCATTTCTAAAGTGTCCCCATCTATCCCATCTTCATCTTCATCCATATGATCCTCCAAGTCATCAATGTTTAACTCCTGCTTATTGTCTTGTCCTGTGATAGTGCTGCCTCCTATTTTCCTAACCCTCCCCCTTATACTCACATCCTCACTTTTTTCGTTTAAACCCACCCCTTCATTTGAAGTATCAATAACAGAGCTGTCAATCACAGAATTATCAGGTTGAATTTTCCTGGGCCGTCCCTTTTTCCTTTTCATAACAGGTGTAGTGGGAGTATCTTCATCATGTGTATTGTCAATTTTAGCCACAGATGTCTGATCTGCATTCTCCTCTACCTTTGAATCAGTAGGACTTCTTTGTATTTCCACTTCCCTTTGAGCAGTGCTAGCACCCGTTTCACCCCTGGGACGTCCTCTCTTCCGTTTCCTCCCAGACAAAGTCAAATTGTCAGAATTTTCATGCACTGAATCTAAAAACTTTGTTAACTGGCTATTTTCCAATACTGGATTGTCAGATGCATTTCTGTCATCAGATGAGGAAGTTGTCTTAAGGGGAGACTTCTTTGAAGATCTTCCGCGTCGCTTTCTCTCACTTGAATCTCTTTGTTTTTCGAATCCCTCATGTTCTGCTCCTTTCTCATCAAAAGCTTCACACATGCTACTGTCTTCTTGAGATTCCTTACTTTCAGAAAAACTTTGAGTTGTGTTCTTTGTATCTTCAGGATAAGAACTTGAATTTCTGTTTTGAACCCTCCTCCTTTTGCTGCCATGCACTTCAACATTTCCACTATTACTTGGACTGCCACTTTCAATGAGTGAAGAACTACCTGTGCCACTTAATCTGCCAGCTCCTGATCCATTTAAACATTTCTGAGAGTCAGGGGTGGTCTCATCTTGGTGGGGAGTGCCCTCTACTGTTCTGTTCTTTGGTGGTCTGCCTCGTTTCTTTGGCACTTTTCCCCTTACTGCTTCTGGTGAGCTTACAAGGGCATGTTTTGGTTTTGTTTTATGTGGTTGACTTTCAGAGTCAGTTTCCCCCTTGGTTTTAGCTACTGTGGTAGGGCTTTGATCACCTGTTGTGCAAGAAACAGGATTTGTCTTTTCAATTTTTGGAGATTTCTCAAATTTTTCTTTGTCAAACCAGAAGACAAAATTTCACCTGATCTAGTTCTCTTACCACATTTTGTATAATCTTTTTCATTTTCACAAAATCTTAATCAAAAACCATTTTCCAAATCTTTTAAGTCCAATTATCTATTCTTTTATTATGAAACTGCCTTTTGTGAAAAAATTGGAAAATATGATGAAGGGTCCAGGGAGCCGCCTAGAGAAGACTGATGATATTTTGGCTCCCCAAAAAAATCTCATCCCTGATTATTGCTATTATTCAGAAAAAAAGACAAAATATCAAAACAATCAACTTACCATTCATTTTCTTCATCTCTTTATGATGGGCCCCCTTCTCCCACCTTGGTCCAGGTTTGGTGGGAGGGGAGGACTTGACTTGGGTCAGTTGCCCAGTACGCCTTGTCTGGAGGAGGGGGGCATCACTCACCTGGTTCTCCACCTGGGATTAACAGACACCAATAAATAAATTAATTAATTTTAATTATTTTAATAATCAAAATTACAATTAATTATTAATGACGGCTTACTAGTATTTCATTAATTTATAATTAAAAGTCTGTGGTGTTGTAGGAGCTGCATTGAGTCGGGTTTCACTCAATAGGGCACCTTGTGATACAAACCTCAACTCGGTCATGGTCCCCCTCCGTTAGAGTTGTCTGACCCTTCTCTCCAGGTTTACTGCTGCCTTCCATGCCAAGGCACTTCTTTATAGCCACTCTGCTCTGGTTCACTTGACCAGACTAGTCCTATAATTAAATTCAATTTGCAAATGCTTGGTGTTGAACAATATGTCAGCTGCAGAGGTGGTGTCAGCGCTAATAACTGATGTAACACACTGCAATTGTACTTTAATTATTACTCCATGGGCAGTATTATATTTAACATGTACGATTTCCCAACACTCAACAGTTCAACATTCCCTGTGCCTTATTTATCGTATCAATATCATTCACACATGAATACGACATTAAATGGAACGATTCTTGCCAAAAAGATTAAAATGATACATGATGAACAGTAAATTTTACTAACCGTGTAACTTTACGCTTTGCTGGGACTCGAACCTCTAACCTTGAGATCATAGGCAAATGGCGTGGTTTCCTTCAAATCTCGTTTTTTCTCGCACAAGGACACCAGAGACGGGGGACTATATCTGTAATAAAGGCGGTTCTTAAGACAAAAAAGAATATATTTTGAACCAAATAAATCACGGTATTTAACATATAGACATTGTTCAAGGTATTTCCCTAAAACATTTGAGGATTTGCAAATTCTCGTTCAAGCCTCAATGCCAGAATAAAAATGGCGGCGCCCATGGTTTGAAGTGCTTTGTGTGTGCCCGGTAGTTATTTCTCCTAGCATAAGTTGATCGGCCTGCTATATCGCCCAAGAGCCGGCTCAGTGCGGTAAGCATAAAAAGTGCTACATCACTTGACATTGTTCTCAGCTGAAAGCATTTCTCTTCGTCTAGATAATTTCTGTTGAATTTTAACTTTACATTTAAAATGACCAGATTCAAAGACGGTGCATCAGTGCCAGCACAGTGACCTGATGCATATGTTTAAGAAACCTAAAAAATGTATTGCATTCAGTGATAAATGTCCACTTTTTTAGCTGCGTTCCTCGATCAAACTATATGTTTTTATTGCCTGTGAAGTCTGTAATAAAACGGCAGTAATTTATAGTTGTCGTACGTACGCATGTACAGTACTGTCGTTGGTTTTAATGAAAATTAATCAGTATCCCACATGGGGCGTGCCACATGTATTTTAGGGGAAATCTGCGTGTGTGAAATTTATATATGGGGCCCGGTTATATATAGCAATCAATATATGGAGACCTATTTTGATACGTTTATTCATTTTTGTCATACTGATGCCTGAACTGGTACAGCTGTGTATATTAGTGTATACTGATTTAAAAAATGAATAATAATAAATAAATGGATAAATGAAGCAGTATGCCACATTTGTTTTCTTTGCTTTAAGAATACCACAATGGCAAACCCAGGGCCATATCAGCAGTACCAGTATCAACAGCAACGGCAACAACAGCAGCAACAGTACAATCAACCAGGTGGCACAGCGATGCATCAGCAACCACCACCATCATTACAACAACAGTTCAGTGACAGCCACCAGGGATCTCTGCATCAAGGTCAGGGGTCATGGGGAGGTCAAGGTCAGACACAGCTGGCCTCTCCAACTAAAGACGTAAACACAGCCTCACTGTGCAAGACAGGCCAGGAAACAGTGCAAGAAATAGTGCAGAAAACACTGGAAATATTTCAAGTTCTTCACCAATTGAAGGTTGGTACTTTAAGAAATTGGCCCAAAATCCTATATGGTCTTTTAGGACACATGTCCCCTAGAGTCTGTGATTTCATATTGTGTTCATGTGGGTTTGACTCCCAAACCAAAAGTGCATTGGGTAGATACACAATTCTGGCAGTTCATGGTCTCTCTTAGAGTCAGACACAGTGCATTTTAAATGATGTGAGCTCACGGAAACTACAAATCTTGGCTTTCATTGTTGCAAGTATTGCCCTAAAATATAGCAAAGGTGGTATGCTTACTTTTGCCTCAGTTTCAGTAAAACCTGGGTATGAGTACCACAGCACTTGAAATAAAAAATACAATATATGGAGTGTTTATAATTTGCGAATAATTACCATACTAATTGTGCTCCTCAGCTTCCTAACAATACAGCAGGGAACAGTGTGCAGATGTACCAGGACAAGAAAGCCAAGCTGGAGGACCACATGAAAGCCATACAGGTCTCGTTTAAGAAACTACGCCTAATGTATAACAAAGTCCAGGAAATATGTCAGCATTTTGATACCAAACAGACAGAAGTAAGTACACATGTAAACTGGGATTATTCGGGAGGTCAAAGAGTCAAGATATAAAAGGGAAATAAAAAGAAATTAATTTAAAATGAACAGTGGACATTTAATCAGATGCATATCAGATAGACATAAGTGAAAATCTTGACAAAGAAATTAATTTCTTTCATTTCATCTACTAGCTTGAGAATTATTCTAGAACAAAGCTCCAGCTGGGATTTGAATTTCCCTCTTTTTCTCCTCTTTTTCATTTTTGTTGAAAAAACAACTAAAAATTAAGAAATAATATTTACAGTGAAGGCAAAGTTCAGGGGAAAGTTTGTTTTTTTTTCTTGGCCTGGTCTATTGCCATCTGCATAAATTCCTGTAAAATTTGTTATAGTGTCTGATCCCATACATCAATGGTCCAGAGGTTGATGACGGTGGAGCTCATGCCACAGAAGCAGTTAGATACTCCTCTGAAGAACACAGGGAGATAGCAGAGGTCAGTGTGTGTGAGTGTGTTTGTGTGTGTGTGTGTGTGTGTGTGTGAGAGAGAGAGAAAGCAGGCCATTGTGTGAAGTGTAATAGAGAGAGAGAGCAGGTGTCTGTGTGTAAGATGTGACAAATAGCAGAGGTCAGTGTGACACTGTGTTAGGTGTGACTGAGAGATAATGGGTGTATGTCTGTGTGATGTATTGTGTTAGTTGTGACAATATAAGAAATAGTGAGATACCTGCGGTGTGACAGTGTGTTTGATGTTGTGAACATAAGTTGTGGTAGTATGTAAAACATTGATGTAGCAGCAGATGTGTTAGGTGTGACTACATGTGTGTGTATTAATATTAACTATATAAAGCAGTGAGATAGCTTAAGTTGATATTCTAGTATTTCCATATTTTGTGATATTCTACTAGCGTACCAGTTGGAAATTTCATAAATATTTGACCTTGGTAAATAACAGGAATTTTCTTTACCTGTGGCATTAATGTTAGCCTTTGAATATTCTATAAAACACTTTGTAAAATCTTTATCTTTGAACACTTTGCATATCAGGGCCAATACAACTTGTCTCAGGTTCTAGTAAGTCCAGACCTTTTTCTTGTTTCTCCGGGTTTAATCGACTTAAAATCGACCCATTTCCTTTGTTGTACCATTTCAGCAAATCAGAAACAAGAATCGCCATCTGAAGGAAATAATAGACCAGCTGCGGACGGTTATCTGGGAAATCAATACTATGGCTGCCATGAGAAAAACGTAGTTTGCAGTTTTTTTTTTTTTTTTTAATTAACTCTGGACTAACATATGATGAGTCCTTGGATAAAAAAAAAGAAAGTGTGAAATCATGACAAATGAAATTATGAACTTGGTGCCTGAAGGAAGAAATAAAAGGCAACATTATGGAGAGGAATGTTTTATTAACAATAGGTATGCTCTGAACAGATCCCTTCCATAATGATTTAATGTATGTATATACTGTATATAAATGATATGGAAACAGTAGTATGTGTTTGTCTGTTAATAATGAAAAGAAGGACAAAATGTTTCACTCTGTTATCGAGTGTATATAAGCTGCAGTGATCCAGGATGTACAAGGCTGAAGTCCTGTAGCTGAACGAGGATCATGTGACCCAGGATGTACAAGGCTGCAGTCCTGTAGCTATACAAGGGTCATGTGATCCAGGATGTACAAGGCTGCAGTCCTGCAGCTATACAAGGATCATGTGATCCAGGATGTACAAGGCTGCAGTCCTGTAGCTGAATGAGGAACCAAAATGTGATCTAGGATATTCAAAGATTCATCAGGTGATCTGGGATATACAAAGCTGCAGCTTAGTATCTATTAATATAAACAATCGTCATGTTATCTACGATATACAAAGCAGCAGCTCAGAGACAAAACTGCAGCCCGGTGGCTATATAAAGAATTGTCATGTGAATTAGGATATACAAAACTTCAGTCTAGTAGTTATACAAGAGCTTATCATGTAATCTAGAATATACAAAGTTGAAGTACTTTAGCTATACAAAGGATTGTCATCCATAATGATATGGCATCACACATGAGTGATAGCAGTTATTTATAATGATTATGTTACATTTTGTTCATACAGTCTTATTCATACTGCTCCTGTTTACAAATAAGTCCGTTGTTACACAGATTCATCTGTCGCACTATGACGAGTAGCGCCCAACACAGAGTTGAAATGAGCTCATAGCATCATGTTTTTGTATTCCATACCCTCAGGGTACGGGTACAGCGCCCCTGATGACGTCTCGGCGCGCTCTATCTCTTCAAGTTCGTCTTCAAAGAAAAACTTCTTTTCCCCGAAGGCCGGTCTGAGGTCGCTGAGCCAGCTTGCCTTGGGATCGTACTGAGCAAAAAATGGGTTCTCCGTCCAGGCAGGATTCCGCCCTTGTAAGAACTTGAGCACGAAGACCTTCTCACCTTGGAGCGTGGCGGTACCCAGCACGTGCAATTTCCCGGGGGACGCTGACATCGACGGTCCCCGAACCGTTCTCCCGATACCGGAGATGCTCGACGAGGCCTCTTGGTAGATCTTCACAGCCTCCGCTAACGGAACCTCGAAGTAATGTTTTGCGCCCGTGTCTCGTTCCACGAACATGTAGTAGGGGATGATTCCAAGTCTTACTTGCAACCGCCACATATCCGCCCACGTCTGCGGGTTGTCGTTCACGTGTCTGATCAGTGGCGCCTGTGCGCGGATAGTCGCGCCCGTCATCTGGATACGTCTAATGGCTTCCTGGGCGACAGGAGTGCTCAACTCTCGCGGGTGCGAGAAGTGACTCATGATGGCCAGATGCTTACCCGATTTCACCACTCTTTCTAACAACCTGAAACGCGCAAAAGACAATATTTTTCGTTTAAAAGGAATGACAAAATCGCTTCCTTTATTAATTAATTAATTAGTTTAGTGGTGGTACATGTTTTATTAGCTAATTTTTTTCTGTTTTGCGAAAAAAAAAACGTAAAAGGTTACTGGTAACGTCTTCTCGTTGTCTTTTGTGGTCAAAATATCGTGAGGTGATAACAGCATTATAAGTTTGTAGCCAGCAATTTTAAAGGGGGTTTCTTTTTTCGGTAAAGTGGGCTTTTCTTCCCCCTCCTCAAGCTTGAAAAATGGTACAGACCCTAGATTGAAATTTGACTTAGACCTTTTCAGGTCTTCTCTTTCGACCCCACCCCGAACCCAACTGCCCACGGGCCTGGCTTAAAGGTCAATACGAACCACAGAATGTCGTCGGAGTCCGAATCCGAGATGTACCGGTATGGCCAGTAGCCGATGGACTTGGTGCCAATGCGGACAGTGGCCACGTGGTCCAGTGTCGGGTCATTGATCAGGGGAAGAAGGTACCGCTGCCATTGACGAGCCGTCATTACCATGGGATCGCCACCTGGATTAAGCCATAAATCAGACATAAGTGTGTTTAACGAATGTTTAGTTATAATATTAATGTGCAGATATTTCTACCATCAGTGGTGTATATGAAATGAAACACTGGGTTGATAATTTACTAGGCCCTTCTTGAAATTTGGGCACCGATGGCAAGCACGTCGGGTATACAATGTACTTGTAGAACCTACGTGTACTTGCGCATATGCACGTTCTTGGAAAAGCATAAAGGTGTTCACGCCATTGATTCTCCCTCTTTCCCTCTCTCCCAAAACATCTATCACAGCTTACCAGTGAACAACACATCGCTGACACACTTGTTCGTGCGCAGGTATGCCCGGAGAAGGTCCCCGTCAGTGCTCTGAAACTGTTGTTGACTGCCCACAGATGTAAACTGGGCCCAACGGAAACAGTAAGTGCAAAAAGCCTGAAATTACATTAAATTAGCCTTATTAGTACCCTGCACATGTACTGACAAACTGACGGCATACATGTGACGTCATGACGTAATGTTGACGTCACGTTGTAATGTGTTCACAACGCCGCCATCCAAACCGGGCTGAGACATTTCTGTTCACAGATCTATAGAAAGTGGTCACAGGCTTACGACTTTCATAGTTAACAGCTGTTGATTCAGAATGCTAGTGAGTACATGCAGCTCAGTAGACAAGCCAGTCCCTTCAAAGAGGTCACGATAAAATTGGCCTCATTGCCGGCAACAGAGGCCTTCTTTATGGTTAGAAGGTATAAATTATTCTGCAAGGACAAAGAATTATGCTTTTTACTGACAATCTACTAAAATGGGGATATTAACTGTCGTTAGCAGTCTTCGATGTTGACGTCTTAGACTTTTTTGACAAAGTCTTTAAACATAAATAACGTGTACACTCGCAATCATGAGAATGGTTTCAAACGATATTGAGGAGCACCTCATATAGACTAGTACTAAATGCACTGTATTTACGGGACGAATCTTGACTCAGCCGCTGTATATATCCCTACCTGGCAAAACTGGCCTTCAGAAGGGAAGAACAGGACCGTCTCCCGATACTTGTGTTGCATGCCGGGAAGCTCTTGACCATTGACTCGTGGTACGTTTAGAGTTTTCTGATTGGCTGGGTGTGGATTAAGCTCCGCCCTGCAATGTTGAGAAAAAATTCAGTAGGGCCTGCGCTGTACATGAAGAACCTTCAAAACGTCTTTTTTTTTCTGTACCTTGTTTAACAACGCGTAACTTTTAAGGGTGCTGTATTTGGTCACCGATTCTAGTATGACGTCACAAAGCTGGAAAGCGTTCGTGGGCCAGCTGCAACCATACCTTAGTTTTTCCACTGTTTCTCTCAGAACGGTACGGGTCACTCCACGTCGTAGAAGGTCGCGCACGTCCGCCAAACCCTCCTCCGACAGCATACCTGAAACGAGGAATTACTCCGAGATTTGAGGGTAACTGACGCTGTTTTGGTGCGGTTTTAAAGGAACACTGCTTCTGTACTAAATGCATAGAATTTCGTAAGAGACGTGTTTCACGTGAGAATGTACATGTAAAATATAATAATAATAATAATAATTGTATTGCAAAATACTGTCAACTGACTAACCTGGTTGTGGGAACACCAACTGGAAAATGGGATCATTGGGAACGCTGGACCAATCAATGAGGTCTTCTACCACGTAGTTGTTAGTGCGCATGGGCAGCACGCTTGCTGCCGCGACGTACGAAAGTGGGTCAAGATCGGTCCGATTCTCCAAATAAGTGTTGAGAATCCCCGGAATGTGACTTTTGCTGTAGAGCTTGTAGTCACGTGGCTGTATCTCTGGAACTGAAGAGGACACTAATCAAACTCTTATATATGTCACCCTTTCGAAACGAAAGGTTTCGGGATTTTTTTTTCTTTGTACTAATGTGCCAAAGACTCGTTTTGTATATTCAGAAGATGAATATTTCTGACAAAAGTATTTCTATTTAACTTTTAAAAAACAATAAAAAAATATATACATTTTACAATGTTTTAAATTTGGAATGAAAATACATTGTTATTTCGTCTTTAAATGCCAAATTTACGTGCAAAGTATAAAACATCATACAAAAATACTGGAGAATAAGCAAGCCACTCTGATAAATACTCGAACGGACTTTTTCACGTGCTTCCAATTTCTACTAGTACAATTCTAACCTCTTGATAAGTACACACATACATCTATAACATTAACTTTCATAAAAGGAATAATAATATTCAGTACACTATTCTCAACATTGATATACACTGTAATAATCTGACTAGGCGCACAGGTGCGAAGTCCGCTGAAGCAGAAATCAGAGCAAGTTGTACATTCCACGTGATAATACTTAAATAGCAACATATACAGTACAAACTTAGCCAACAGCGCACATAGAGAAAGGAGACCGAAATTATATTATTTTCATTTTAAATAAGAAAAAAATATTAAATTTTTTTTTTTTTCGTAACAATTTCCACAGTTTAATTCTTTATCTTGCCCTGTAAATAATGCCGTGATCTTTTTCATTTTTTTCCGGAAATATGCAAACTCAGTTGCCCTATGCCAAAAGCTGCATCTTTCGTTCTCCGCTGAAACTGTGCGCGCTGATGTCCAGTTCAGACATATTTACAAGCATTCTACCAGTGTCAGTGTAAAGGTACAGACGTGCGGGTAACGAAGTTGCCATAGAAATGGATTTTGAGTTTTGTAGTGCCTTATAATTAAACGGAAATTTTATGAGAACGAATATTCATTAAACTTCATTTACCCCAATACCTGAGAACGAAACCGGGACGCTCATATATTACACTCAATGAAAACAAAGTGATGCGAATTTCAAAGCCCCAGTTTAATTTTTCTTCGAATGGATTTTGGTAAAAATTCATTTCCTTCTTCTGAGCCACACGTGCTGCACTCTACATTGTAACACTTTTTTCCGCCACAATGTGGCATGCACAACATTACATCACAGTTCTTCAGACTACTGATTGATTACGGTTGATGCTGAGCAGGCCATAAGAATCCGGCCGGAAATTCCAACCTGATTCTCTGATCTGTCGCCCCCGCACTATCATCTCCAAGGTCATGTGATTTTCTTCGAGAAATCTCGAGAATCAGCTGCATCTGAAAATATCTCCATTCCAATATTGCGTTCTTGCACTGAGAGTCTCATTCTGGGAAACATGTATGAGATTATTGAAATTCTCTACAACTCAACGCACAGTGCGCAGACATAAGTTTTACACAATGTTGTCTCCCATATTATGCATGGTATAGTTCATCATTGGGCATCAAGCATATTTTGTTGGTAAAGTGCAGTTTGTAGGCCTACCATTTGCCAGTATCTACTGATGCAATAATGACTATTGTACCGGTTTCTTATCCAAGTTCTTTTATTTGTGGCACTTCCTCTTTGCAGTGACAAATATGTCTTAAAAGTGTTTTAAATGTTGTCAACAGTTAGTCCAGTCTTTCCTATTAAGGTTTGGCAATTTACAATAGTCGTAGTAGCATTACATATGGCCATGGACTTCTCACAAAATCGTTACGCATACAGTTTGAACGATTGCATGATTTGAATATTGACAATATGTTTCTGTACTTAACATTTCAATGTGTCAGATTGGACTGCATTTTTTTTTTTTTTTTTTTTTTTTGCCAAATGCCTACATGTGTATGGGTCGGATTCTTAAATCCACCGTCATTTAGCACTTCCACTTTTTTCCCACTATATAGGGCATCCAACTAATGATGGGTTGTTTTTAAAATTAAATGCAGCCATTACGAAAAAAAGGCAGAATGCAATCCACAGCAAAGCTGACACCTTTACAGACAGTGGACAAGAAAAGGAAATAAAGACTAAAAGCAATGGCAAATAGAAAAACAGGAACGCTTTTCAGTAACACACTGGAGTAAACTTTTGCATTTAACAAAACTATAGCTCAACATTTTCAAAACTGCCTGCTGATTATTACTTTGACGAGAGAACAGAAAACTACAGCAAAATTACTTGTTGCACAATATATACTATCCGCTGCAACATTAGCGACAGAAAAAAAGGAATGTGTTAACAGGATTGTAATTGTTAAGGTGACCCTCCCCATTCAATGGCGGCCATTTTGGATTTTGGCCAAAAATAGACTTTGCCATGGGGGGATTCATGGGGGAAATTTTTTGGGGCAATATTGGGCCTTCAACGGACCGGAATCAGTTGAAAAACCTTTGTCCCAATTTTTTCCAACCTAAGTTGTTTATTGACTGGCCTATGTGTTATACCAGGGTAAATATACAGTGCATTCAATACTGTGTCTGTATATAAAATTATCCACTTGACCCAGTTTTCGTCGCGTTGTTGGTCTGACCACAAAAATGACAAGAATGGGGCTAAGGAGAGGAATGTCCTGCAGTTTAAATGATGTCCAGCATTAATGTCAACGATCTATTCTGATAACCGTTAATGCGTTGTAACACGAAAAAAGAGAACTGGAACGTTTTAAAGGGAAAATGGGCGATTTTTTTTGTGCTACATTAAAGCTATGATTTAGTTGCGTAATGTTTACAGGATGGAATGAAAAAAAAAAGAATAACATCTCATCGATGTTGCACCCGCAATAACATGATCGGTATGGCGAAAAGGGAAAATTCTTTCAAGCAGTTCAACCGGCATTAAAAAATGGTCTACAAAAAAAATTTTGCATATAGTATTTTGAATAGCTCGGAAATATCAAGCTGCCATCATTTTTAAGGAAATTGTAAAAACGCGTCAATGAACAATACATTTAATGCAACAATTTGCATACTATCTATCGAAAGAAGTGAGGGAGAGGGGTGGAAGTATTGCCCAATTCTTAGTACCAAATAAATTGATGATGATTTAAAAAGATGCGTAGATAGCATCCAAGAATCGCCAAAAACTCAAACCGATGTCAGAATGTGTATTAAGCTTTGAGACTAACATATTAATTTTTGTTTCGCCTCAAAACGCTTGTAGATCTTGTAAAAAAAATGTTCTCTCTGAACGTGGGAAATAAGCGTCCCAACTTAAATCGTTAATCGAATTAGTGTGAAAATATTCATCACAAATATATGATATGACTTTATATCTTGTGCCATGAAAGCGCCCTCACCATGGTTACAAGGTTATGTACCAAATACCAGTCTCGGTTTCATTCCACCAGGAAGCTTCTCAAGAAGTTACACTACGCATTTCACCTAGTTTCTTGAGATATTTCCGTTTTAACTAACATTTTCTATGTGATAAGTTTCAATCCAACATCTTGATATTTCTTTTAAATGTATATGCAAATTGTTTGCGAACTTCGATGAAGATATGTAGCAAGATTGACAGCGTTTTGTTACGAAACAAAATGTCTTAAAACCGGGTGTTCGACACCACTCTATTGAACCGTAATATAATAATAAAAACTAAAGTATCGACTTCTTTAATTAAATATGCGGAAAATAAACCAAAATACAACAGCGAAAAAATTACCTTCTTTAGTTTTCGTGGCTGTTGTCAGGTCAGCAGAGAGCTGGTTGGCTGACGTAGTAGACGCAGTTGGCGTTAAACGCGTACGCCTGTTTGACGTCATACGTAGCGGTTTTTGGGGAATGTCTGTTGTGTGGAGCAGACGACTGATGGAATCCAACCAATCATCTCCAAAGACACTCTGTCGTCTGCAGACGGGTACAGTGCGGGATAGTCGTTTCATCATTTCCATGTACCTACAATATCAGCGATAAAGAAAAAAAGAAAATGGTGATTTATTAGCGGAAAACAAGAAAGTAGCTTAACATATATATGTATTCAGTGGACTACCAGTCCTGTATATAAGTTAAATTTAATGCCAAGGCAGTTGATATATTGTCTGGCAGACAGAGATCAATCACAGGTATGCCTACGGCACTACCAGTAGTTGTCCTGTTAACCTATATTATATGCCATATCATCTTTACCGCTTCCAGCGTCACTGATTTATCATAGGACAACGTGCAGTACAACAGTAATGATGAAGACAGCATTCGGTAACTTGCCAAACACACAGAATGTTGAAGAAAAATAAAACAAAAATTACCAAACTCGTCACATAAACTTGACTAGAAACCCGCAGCTTTTCCCACTGGACGAAGCAGGCCGCAGCGCACTTTGTGAACCAGAGGTCACGTGATGCATCAATGTATTACGTATTGCATGCGGTGCTGAACAAACGAATGTCCGAAAACGACGTCCGGTCCATTATGAGAATGTTTGTACTTTTCTAAAGGCGACTCACTTATGCTTAAGCCGGAATCAGGTGACAATGTGGATTGAGGGATTGAGATAACAAAGTCTACGTTCCAAGGCCATGCATGGGACCTCCCTCTAACTGGGTTAATACACCCCCCCCCCACCTACCCCAACCACTCAAACTTCACAAAAATTGGGATGTATTTAATAATTACCGAAAAGATGAAGTGAATGCACATGTCCATGGATTAAATATTTGGCTTTCTGTGCTTTACATCAAGACTACAAAATAGGCTTATACAGAGCATTTAAAGAAAAAATCATTCACTTGACCTTTTAAGCTACAAGATTTCTCATTCGTCTTTCATTAAATTTCGTTACACTTCTTTTGAAACATCTAGTTTCATTTTTTTTTAATATGAGAAAAGAGTTGTCATGTCGCGAAGAATTCACGAAGCCATAGAATTCATACGAAAGGCCCTTGGCACAGTGTCAGATGATTGATCGGTACTTTTCCATCACTTACACAGCACGTTGTTTTACTAGTTCCTGACATCCTGGAGAAGGTTTTCAGTCAGTGATTTCATAAATGATTCATACATCACGTGCCTTAAGCGTGTTCAGTGACAGCTGGTAGCTGTTTTGACTGTGTTCTCAATCCTAGATCCATCTAACAGGATCGGTCCATCTTCACGGGGTTTCTTGCTAAATTGCTTTCAACTTAAGTGGCTTAGATGTCTGGGACGCCTACAAAAGCTGCTAAACGATAGTTAGGCTGTATTCCCAGAGCTTTTAGATCGATCTATCCCCGCGGGGAGTCTCTCTAGATGACTGTCAGATAATCCGGCTTAAATGTCCGTCCCGCCTACTACAAGCTGTAAGGAGGTAATTAACTTCCGTGTCCGCTCGGCTGACAGCTATTTAGCGTGAACCCCCAGGGAGTTAGGTCGATCTAAAGTAGATCGATCTAATCTCTGGAAATGGGGTCTTAATTTCCCCCCTTTCAGCTTCTGTAGACGTGACAGACATCTAAGCCGCTTAAGTTAATTGCAATTAAGCGAGAATCCCTTTGGAGATAGCTCGATCCAAAATTAGTACGATAGGGTCTGGGAATGGTCTCTTTGACTGGCTTTTTTAGCCTTAACTTGTATTATATATTTTACTGTATTAATATTTTTAGCTGTCTATTCCCTTAATGACTTCATTGATCTTATTCTTTTCATTTTAACCTAGTAAGTGCAGTGAACATTTTAACTGGATTTTAGACTATAAATTATTATTATTATTATTATTATTATTATTATTATTCAGGCCCGTAGCCAGCAATTTCAAATGGGGGGTTCGTTTTTGAAACAGTGGACCTTTTACCATAAAACGTTCATTTACCTAGATCAAATTTTTTCCAAAGTGGACCTTTTCCCAGCAAAAAGGTCGGTTCTTTCGAACCCC